CCGGGGGCCGCGGAGGGGGAGGGGCTCGGCCGCTTCCCCTGCCACCCGCCGAGCGCGCTCACCGCCGCTCTCCCTCCTTGCTCCGCAGCTGCGGCCCATGGAGCCCGCCGGCCCGGTCCCCGGCCGCCTCGGGCCGTCGCTCTACCTCCTGCTCGCCGCGTCCTGCTCCTTGGCAGGTAAGCACCCCTAGTCCCCACCGCCGGCCTCCCGGAACTGCGGGCTCAGGCCCCACCCCGCCACGCAGCTCATGTCGAGAGATGCCTTGTAACCCGGCTTACAGATGCAGAACCGAGGCCCAGAGAGGGTCAGCCACCAGTCCAAGGTCACATAGCCGAGGCTGGAAGCCAGGATAGAACTCTTGCTGAGAGCGTCTGTCCTGTGCACTGTGACAGTGTAGCCCTGCGCTGGGCAGGAGGGCATAGAGATGAGTTGGTTCACCCTGCCCCCTGCGCAGTCTGAACGGGGAGGCAAGCTGGCAGTACCTTCCAGCAGCAGGGCACCAGTCCCCCAGAAGCTAGCTCCCTGACTAGATTTGAGTTTTCCACAGGTTTGACTCGGAGGCTCGGAGTCGGGGCAGAGGTCCTCCTGAGCTGCCAGGAATGGAACAGGCTGTTGGGATGAGAGAAGAGTGAGCTTTCCCTCTAGTACTGGGCTCGAGCACTGTTAGCGTGTGGGAGTGTGGGGAGAGATGCAGGGAGGCTAGGAGTAGCCTCCGCATCCACAGACCCTTTCCTGGAAGGTGTTGGAAACGCGGTGGATTGACCTATGGCGGCACAGCCTCCCTCTTGGACTATCTGCCTCAGGGCTCCATCATCAGCATCTCTCCTGCCTTCCTTAGGCAGGCTTCCAGAAGAACCCTGCAGTTAGGTGTTCTGCTGTTCTGTTACCTGTGGCTTGAAGCTTGTGAAGCTTGTCTTTTTGTTGGCCTACATCAAACACCTGACTGTCTCCAGCAGGAGGGCTCAGAAGGCTAGTGCGTGTGTGTTCACCAAGGAGTGAGGTCACCATTCAGGAGTCCTGAGGCTTAAAGGCGTTTTGCAAAAACCCTGGGTCTTCTGGTGGATTCAAAGGCCAGATTCACAGCGTTACAGGAGCTGGGGAGGGAGAGAAGAATGAGGGACCTTGTTTGGTGGCTTCTTGTGATGGACAGAGGGGTCCCTGCACCACCTTCCTTTTGCAGAGAGGTAAAGATGAGCTCAGCCTCCCTCCTCCCCAACATTTGCCTGAAGCCTGGCATTTGATATCAGTGCAGAAGAGGGGAGAGAGAACCAGCCCCGTGGGTGGAAGGAGAAGTAGGGGGTGGCCAGAAGCTATACTACATACAGTTTCCTCTGAACCCCAGAAATCCACAAGGTACCCCCGCCCCATTCCCAGTTCTTTTTCAGTTATTGTTGGGTCCTTGTAGGGTTCATAAGTGGCTGTCAGGTTTGATCTGTCCCCTCCTGCCCTGCTGCCATCCTCCAGGGTTTGGAAACCCACAGACATCTCTTCAAAGTATTCAATTTCTGTGAACCACAAAGCTGGGTCCAAGTTAATGTTTGTTCTAGACCTTTCTCTGACCAGGCAAATTAGTGGTGATGATGATTAACAAGTGTTCAGACCAGCAGTCTGTCCCTCCTGGACACTAGCCTGAATGCCAGCACCTTTCTTATGAGCATCTCCCCTCCCCATCTCTGCCTATAAAATGGTAAAGATTGGGGCATAAAACTTCCGTTCCAATCAATTCAGCATCAGTAGCCTGAAAAAGTGGGAGCAATGTAGGGGCCCAGATTAACTCTGAAGTAAGTAAATCTTGGGAGGTGAGAATAACATTCTTGGTGAGGGTTGTAGGGAAGGGATGGGGTATGGCCACTGGCTCCAGCCTCCCAGCATCCTGCACTCAGTCCTGTATGGTCCTGGTCACTCCCTGGGGCCCAGCATCAGATTTACCTAGCTTTGTTATGGGAGAGGATTTCAGCCCCTGCTGGCCCCCTCCTTCCTGGTTCAGGGCCTGGGATTTATGACAGAAGAGAGGCAGGAAAGAAGAACAGGGAAGTAGAAAGCAGTTGTCTGATTTTCGAAGAAAACGGATTTGTTTGAGGAAGAAACCCAAATGTCAGCTTAGAAAGATAGCTTTGGATTGAATGACTGCTGGTGTCTCAGGCAGAACTGTCATCCTGGGAGGTGTCACATGATTGCTGGGCTTCACATGATCACTGCTTGGGTGAAGGGAGCTATTGCCTGGGGGAGGCAAGGGAAGAAGTATCTGTAGATTGCGTTTGGTACAAATGCTGCCAAAGGAAAATTCTAGCACAACTCCAGCGAAGTCACCAGCATGGGTTCTTGGAGTCCCTGTCGGGCCTGACCCTGCTGTCCTGGGAGAGACGGGCACACTGAGACAGCCAGACTTGGGGGCCACAGGGCCTCATGAGGGTCAACTTACAAGATTCTTGTTTGGCCCCGCCTGGGCTAGGGACCTCAGATGGATTCCTTTGTTCTAGTTGGAGGCCAAGACTGGTTGAAGGTCCAGCTTTGGGGGCAGTCGGCGCCTCCAGTGAGCCTATGACCTGTGGTAGTGTGTAGCATGCTTTGTGGCACCTCTGTACTTTCCTAAGTAGTAAAGCTGCTCTCACTTCCTCTTTCATAGGAAAAGAGAGTAGGATGGGGGTGAGACTAACTGCTAGGTGGCAAGCACAGAGGCTTTGAGAAGGCCTTTGAAGGCCCAAGTGCTCTTGATACTTTGTGGCCATTATTTATCCCTTTCCCAATCTCATGGGGACACGCCGATTCATTCCTTTGCTTGTAGACACTCAGCATATAAGAAGTCCTGATATGAACTGTGTGGTGAGAGAGGGAGAAGGACCCATGTTTATTAAATAACTAACAGAGTTCCAGGCCGGCTACTTTATCTGCACAATCTCATTGACCAGAGACATGTCATTTGACTCTTACCCCAATTTACAGATGAGGGAAATTGAGTCCAAAGTTGGGGAAGTAGCATGTCAGGAGTAAGTGGTAAGGGAGCCATGATTGAGAATACAGCTTCTGAGGGAACATAAATGACTGGGGAGTACGGAGTCCACAATGTCAGGGTCGGCAGAGCTGCCCAAGACTTAGATGGAGAGTTACGGAGGGGTTCTGCTGGGTAGAAGCTTTGACTGAGTTTCCCTGAAGCCTGCTGAGTGCGGAACTGGCAACCCCTTGACTTCACAGAGGACAACACGCGGGGAGTAATGTGGCTCCAGCAAGAGCCCCGTCCGGGCTGGCAATCTCTGGAGCCCCCCAGTGCTTGAGTGTTCCTCCCTGCATCTTCCCTGTGCCCTTTGGGACAGATGGAGAGGGGGTGGGCGAGAGGAAGGGAGTCTAAAAGTGCTGACTGGATCCCACACGTACTAGCTCACTGCTTCAGTGCCTCCGTGCGACAGGTTATTTCTTATTTGTCGTCACCAGCTGATAGAAGAACCTGCTTCTCTTTTTAAATATGCTCAGACTTCTAGCCTATGAACAGAGCTCTGATCATGTCACTCCCCAGCTCCAAACTGTTGAGCTCTTAGACCAAATTTTCTTGAAAAGCAAAACAGAACAAAAAGTAACAGCAGGGCCTAGGTGTTCCCGGCCTGGCCTCGTTTCTGGCAACATGTTTTCCAACAGGCCAGCCTGTGAACATGCTGTGGCCCAAACCCTGACTGGCCACCCAGTGCATACTTAGAGGATCAGGGGTGTCCCGTGTGGGGGTCCACCAAGATTTTCCAGTGTTGTTCCACCACGTGAACGAGAGGTATTTGATTTGTAGAACATTTGTTAACATGTAAACCCAGTTGACTCTTGTACAAACCCATGCCCCCATAATTCTCTACTTTTGCTCCCGCTGTTCATCAGGAATGCCCTCCCCGTACTCCTTTGTCTTTCTGTGTTCTGATCCTACTCATTCTTCCTGGTTCATAGTACATGCTTCCTCCTCTGAGGGACTGCCTCAGCTGACCCTCTCCTGTTTTATCTTCCAGCCTCTGAGGCTGCTTAGTGCTTCCTTCTTCTGTGACCCAGTGCATTGCATGTTCAACTCTCAGACCTTCTGCAGGCCTTGGTGACTGTTCAGCCTCTCCATGTAGACACAGCATAGTGTAGAGCTGAGACAGAGCCAAAACCCTCCTGTGCATCAGGCCCGGCCTTGCCACCCATTCAGACAATTTACAGAATTCCTCTGGTTCTCAGTTTTCTCATCTGTAAAATAGGGATGCTGTTTAACATGTCTGTTTCAAGGAGTAAGTCAAATAATACAAGCTCAATGATGTTTGACGCATGCCTGATACATAGTGAGCCCTCAGTATGTGTTAGCCATTCTGCGGTTATTGTTTTATCCTGTTTTGGCTTGCTCATCTATAAAATTGGAATGGACTTTCATAAAGCAGTCTAGCACAGCTCCTACACATAGTGGACATTCAAAAAACAAGGGCCATGAGTGAATGACAGCATGCCTCAGTGCTGTTTTCTCCTGAAGCTTCCTTCGGTTGGGGGGGGGGGGTGGATGAATAAGGTTGTAAGGAGACTAGCTCTGTGCTTTGCCTGTTAGCACCACTGAGCTGCTGACCTAGCCAGCCTCTAGGTGGTGTCTCCCTCTGGACTCACATATTTAGAATTGTGGCTTCCCAGCCCTAGAAAGCTAGAGGGGCCTAGGAGCTGCTCACTGTGCGGTGGGAGAGAAAGGGATTGGTTGAGCTCACTGCAGATCTCCAGATCCAAGACCAGGCCAAGCAGGAGAGACCTCCTACAGTCCAGACCAAGGCTTTTAAAACTGGGCTAGACATTTCCGCTGTAAAAGCCAGAATTACGACACGGTCCTGAATTTTGTGAGAAAATGATAGTAATTATGATAATCCAAGCTGGTTCTTGGGCTCTGTGCTGGTGGATCTGATCTTCATGAGTCTTGAAGCTATCCTATAGTGTGCACCATCGATGATCATCTGACCCGCTTGACCAGTGAGGTGATGGGGTGCGGGCAGCCTGCTCTCCTGGGGCTCCTCTTAATAGCTCTGTGGATCAGTGTATCCTCCAGGAGGTGGGGACAACAGGTGTTCCTAAAATGTGCTTCCATGTCCATGCTGGAGAGGGAAGTGTCTGTTGTGGCAGCTGACGGCATCTTCCTACTCACTCTGGGGTTCCTGGCAGGATGGATATTCCTTGCCCAGTGTTTGCCAAA